CGGGAGGGGAAACATGCTATGGGGGTACCAAAATAAAGAATCACAACAGTAGAGGAATTTAAACAGCTAGTACACCTTGAACCGGTAATAACAAGTAATCACAACAAACGGAAAATGCATGGCATCACCCTTCGTGCTTTTACTCTCAACCTCACCAGATAATCAATAATAGAAACGTACACGGCTTCACCCTTCGTGCTTTATCACTCAACCTCACCATATGAATAATAGAAATGTGCACGGCATCACCCTTCGTGCTTTATCACTCTACCTCACCATATAAGTAATAGCAAACGTGCACGGCATCACCCTTCGTGCTTTATCACTCTACCTCACCAAAACAAGAGACAACAAAAATAGGGAGATAGAAATGACAACAACAAGTCTTACACCAACACTTACACTATGTTTGGATCATTATTGCTCATCGTTTTATAATGTATTGTACTGTACTGTATTGTATTGTACTGTATTATTTTATGGATACAACGTTTGGATAGATTGCATCGTTTGCTGTTAATAAATAACATTTTTGTTGTTTGGTTTGGCTGTATCGTACTGTACTGTAACTGATAAGTTTACTAAAATATCCTCAATTGTTTTAAATAAAATTTATCAAGAATTATGTATAAAAATAATTTAAGAAACCTCTTTCTACTAATTTATCGTCAATTATGTAGCTTGAAAACAAGAGCAAAAACTTGAAGAAAAAAGTTAACTATCATTAACAAAAAAAAATTCTAATACGATGAAAAGAGATAAAGAAACGAACAGAGACTTGGATGATAAGAACGATACGAACCAACTCTAAAAAAAAAGATGTACGTGGATAAAGTAGGTCAATAAGTTGGAGATTTGGAGTTAAAATAAAAAAAATAAAGGATAAAATAGAATTATGTAGTAATAATAAAGGGCATAATTGGAACAGAAAATAAGAAACAATCCCACCACACCAAATCGGTTGCTTAAAAAAATGGGATTTGGTTGTTCCGGAGCAATGGATTTAACAATACGATACAATCAATTTTAAATAAACAATCAAAACAAACATTGTTTCCAAATAACAATACAATACGATACAATGGGTAACAATCATCCAAACAAGCTGTTAGTTCCACAATACCAATCTCAACATTGAGTAAAAAAACCCCATCAATACCAAATTTACTAAAACATGATAAGAAATTGCTAAACACATCGAATAGCTAGTCTAAATATGAATAGTATGATCAAAATACAACATTTACAAGAATAAGACTCACTCACATGCTATGACTCAACAACAACGTATAGATACTCGTCACCTCACATATACGTTGTACTCAACATCCAAACACGTAACAAGTAAGCAAATAACACTTAATCCCTCAAGCTAAGGTTAGCCACGACACTTACCTCGCTCTCACGGCCAAACTCAAAGCTCAATCACCGCTTTTTCCTTCACACAAGCCTCCGGACCAATAGAATCTAGCAAATTACCAATCAAACAATTCAATTTAAGCCTTAGGAACTACCCATGATAGCAAGGAATTCAATTTAGGCCATTTTTTAAAAAGTCAACAAAAGTCAACACCCGGGCCCGCTTGGTCCAAACCCAAAATTCGGACCAAGACCCGATTACCCATTCACCCCCGAGCCCGGATATACAATTGGTTTCGTAATCCGACCTCAACTTGAGGTGTAAATCCCCAAATTTCGAAATCCCTAGCTTCTACCCAAAAAAATCCCAATTTCACCATGAAAATCTTAGATTCTAGGTTGAAATCTTGTAAAAAGAGGTAAAAGATTGAAAGAAACTAATTAAGAATCACTTACTTATGATTTGGAGAAGAATTATCTTTAGAAAATCGCCCCTTGTGTTCTAGGTTTTGAAAAATATGAGAATGAATGAAAAATCCGTTCTAAGTCAAGACTTATTAGCTGCAGATGTCGCATTTGCGACCCGAGCTTCGCATTTGGGACCTGAGTATCGCAAATGCAAACTCCTCGCATTTCTGCAACCATCGCAAATGCGATCCCTGACTTCCGCAAATGCGAAGCTACCCAGTCTCCTCCCATGCTCGCAAATGCGAGATCTGCAAACCTGAAGCATACCAGCAAATTTTCTTAAGTTCAAATCACTCCGTAGCCTATCTGAAACTCACCCGAGCCCTCGGGGCTCCAAACCAAACATGCACACAAGTCTTAAAGCAACATACGATCTTGCTCGTGTGATCAAATCGCTAAAATAACATCTAGAACTACGAATTTAGCACCAAATCACATGAAATTCTTAAGAACACTTTGAAATTCCTCTTTTCTCAACCGGATGCCCGAATCACGTCAAATCAACTCCGATTTTTACCAGATTTCACAGACATGACTTACATATTATATTAAACCTGTACCGGGCTCCGAAACCAAAATACGGGCTCGATACCGACGAGATCAAACATTAGTCAATTTCTTTGAATCATTAGATTTTCAGTCTTACAATTATCATCAAAAATTCATTTCACGGGCTAGGGACCTCGGAATTCGATTCCGGGCATATGCCCAGGTCCCATATTTTAATACGGACCACCGGGACTGTCAAAGTACGAGTCCCGATTTGTTTACTCAAAACATTGACCGAAGTCAACTAAATCCACTTCTAAAGGCAAAAATTATTATTTTTATTAGCTTTCAACATAAAAGCTTTCCGGAAACACATCCGAACTGCGCACGCAAATCGAGAAGGAATAAAATGAGGTTTTGAAGGCCTCGCAGCACGAATTGGGTTCTAAAACACAAGATGACCTTTTGGGTCATCACAATACTTTTTATGGATTTTTAAACATATAAATTTCCTTAAAAAATTTAAAGAATTTATATTGAAAAGTAAATGCTTTGACCCGCATACTCTAACCTCTTCACGTAAACTGGGATAGAGAGTAGTTCATTCCAGCTCGCTTAATTATATAATTATATAATAGTTGAAGACTTGAAGATTCCGAAACCAATAATGGTGACTCTTGATATATAAGATGTCGATGACCCAATCCGTTTACATTTCTATTAGAAAGCTCAAGCAACGGAAAAGAATAGTGAATGAAATAATACATTGAATTATACTATTTGATCCACTTTGTTAGTGGTAAGAATAAAATTTGGCTTTTTAATAAATTGACAATACACATATATTATACATTAATGCCGTTTATATTTTTGAAAGAACAACTATTTTAGTTAATTTCTAAAAATAAACTATTATGTATCGACATTTATTTGAGAACCAAATGGATCGTGCATCTTTTACAATAATGATTAAAATCGTAGAAAACGTTACACTTGGCGTCGATTCATATGTAGTTGAAGTGTTGAACATAAGATAGTGGATATATATAGTAGTTACACTTAACACAAAGGAGAAACACAACTATTATATTTTCTTCCACACAATAAATTAGCAATACTTGAGAGGAGCCACAGAGTGGTCGTTTTCTTGTTAATTCTTTTTGTGAATAGTTTTAAATCTTTTTCATATCTGCAAAAAAAAAAAAGGAAAATCCTCTGATCCATACACGAGGAAAATGTGTTTAGGGGCAAAATATAAAATTGGTCGGTCAGTCAAAACTAATTGCATTAGCGAGCCAAAAAGATATATATATATATATATATATATATATATATATATATATATATATATATATATAAAATAGATATTTTGTCGGCTATTATTTTTGAGAGTGATAAAAAATATATATTTGTCTAAGTTTATTCTTTTAGTTTGAGACTTTTTATCACCCACAAGAAGGTACAACTAATTTAGATGATGGAGGCCATGATTTCTATACTATTTTTCTTTCATCTTGAACAGTAAATTAGTGGGAATCTCTTTTCGTGGATTATGACGAAATCTGCTAGAAGAAACCAAATTATAATCCTCTGGTTCCATAATAATAGTCTGGGGCTGATATAAGGTAACCTATAAGAGTTCATCTGAATTCATTAGCTTTAGCTCAAATTTTGTATGTGTTAAGAAAATTTATTAAATTAGTGCAAATAATTTTGAACTCAATAAATCAAAAAAAAAAAAAAAAAAGGCAGCCCAATGCATTAAGCTCCCGCTATGTGTAGGGTTCGGGAAGGCCGGACCACAAAGGTCTATTGTACGCAGCCTTACCCTGCATTTATGCAAGAGGCTGTTTTCACGGCTTGAAACCGTGACCTCCTGGTCACATGACAGCAACTTTACCAGTCACGCCAAGGCTCCCTTCACTTGATAAATCAAATAAACTATAACAAAATCTAGTGCGGACCCATAAAGTTCAAATAATAAATCCACCTCAAATAATCGCTTTATAAATTCAATGTTTTTCTGGACATGGGAAATTCTTGAATAAAGTTTTTCTGTATTACGTCATAAACTTGACATAGGTAAAAATGAAAAAGGAAAAAGAAACTTAAATATTAAGCAAAAAAAATAGTAACTAATGGCGTCGCCCGGACTCGAACCGGAGACCTTCAGTGTGTTAGACTGACGTGATAACCAACTACACCACGACACCACTTTGTTTCTGTTTCCTCAGCTGTTTTAATATAACTCTTTTTTCTCCAAATTATCTTCCTCCCAAGTCGCGCCTCAACATTCTCGTTTATCTACCTTCCTTCTTTCTCTTCCCCTCTCTTCACCCCCCCCCCCCCACACACAAACATGCAATAGAGAAAAAGTCTTTTGTATTGCTCAGGTTTGGAGGTTCTAAATGTGAAGTGATTTCAATATGCAGTAGCAGAGCTATATACATATATATATAGTGAAGAGGATTCTCTTCGTCAAAAAATTATTTTGCGTATATATAGGTAAAAAAAAAATGTTATTGTATATGTATAACTTGTAAAATCCCCTTATAATTTAGAGTAGTGTTTTTCAAATCCCCTTGTTAGAATTTCTAGCTCCGCCACTATCGGCAAGTTTGTGCACCGGAGACAACACAAAGTCACAACATGTTTGATATGCACTAATTTGTATCTAACTGCAGTTAACGAAGAATTCGAATCAGTAATAACATCTTTCCTCTGGTGTCAAGATACAGTACAAGTGAACCTATATTATCAAAACTAGTTGCACTAATGAGTTACAAAAGATAGTAAGAAGCAAAAGAGGTGTCTGTCAACTGTCTTATAAATATGCATCCAAAATGGCATTTAGTAGAGCCTTTACATATTTGTACAAAAATATGATACATTTCCTTATGCCTTCCCACCATTTGTCCCTGAACAAAGATCAAGAAGATAGTTAGGTGAGAGCATGACAACTTTCATTTTGGATCCACGTTAACAACATTTATATCAAATCACTGCATGAGTCAAAAATATGTATATATGGCCAATGCACGAGTCCAATATGCTCCTAATCCAATATCAATATGCTAATCAAGAAATTTTCAAAATCCTTTCTACTTGGCCTACTAATTTTTTCTTTAAAAAGTTCTTTCCTCTTTCAGTTTAATTTAAGAATTTGATCTTCTTCAAATATATATATATATATATATATATATATATATATATATATATATGCATCACTACATTCCATGCGATAGACCGGTGATTTGAGAGTAACTAGAAGAATAGTAAGAGATCTTGTGAGAGTTCTGGGGTATTAATTAGTAGGATTCGTCGTTTTCTATTGCTCTCTTCGTTTTCTATTAGCAAAGTTTATCAGCATTTGAACTAGATAACAATCCACTTTAACCAAAAACTTGAAGGTTTTTTGTGGTCTGAAACGAAAGCATAACTAGAGAACATGTATAGAAGATATAGCAAAGTTAATCAACTCTGGTTAGCTACAATGGAGTTTCTCCGAAACAACTATCCAAAATCTTTCCTCGCCCCTCACCAATCCAAACCAATTATCATCATAGTCTCTTAGCTTATTTTTAAAAGAACACCTGATTCGAAGTGTTAATGGTGAATAGTCGCATACCTATACATTTCCACTAGACAAAAGGCGCTTCAACTCTTATCTTAGTAGCCATCTCTTTCTTGATGGTTCGGATCTACTCACTACAAAAGGCATAAACATCCACTAGATTATATAAGCAACTGGCACGAAAAACACTATCACTGCAAAAATAGTAAGGGAGATCTATTTTACATGTAAATAATAGGTCTGAAAGCTAGAAGAGGAAATTTCTTGAAATGAAACTTCTCATATTAAGCAAAATAAAGGAATCGTGTAGTACCTATAGATAGATTATCCAGACCCATGTTGCCTTGTTTAATTGCTGTAACCTCGCGATCCTGAAACATATTTGAGGGTAGTTATAAGAAGAAGAACCAACTTTGAGATACGTATCTCCTAAATACAAGCAAATGACAATAGGAGATCCTACCAATTAAAAAAGTTAATCAACTGGAAATTACAGCAAAATCTCATGAGAAAAACTTCCTCAAGTGATATTTTCAAGTAGATAATCAATTACTATATAAGAACCTATAAGAAGTGCCGAACAGAAAGCATACAGAACAGATAAGTACCCTAGGTAATTTTTCCTAAACCGGAGGTTCGCAAATTTCAATGCCTAAAAGATGAAAAATCTGCTTCAAAATAGGCAGAGAATCGAGCTGCTAGGGTGGAAGATGCATATGACATGAGATGCCCGGTGCACTAAGCTCCCGCTATGCATGGGGTCCGGGGAAGGGCCGGACCACAAGGGTCTATCGTATGCAGCCTTACCCTACATTTCTGCAAGAGGCTGTTTTCCACGGGTTGAACCCGTGACCTCCTGGTGACATGGCAGCAACTTTACCAGTTACGCCAAGGCTCCCCTTCTACATATGACATGAGATGCCTGTGGTAAAAAGTATCAGTGGCACCAGTACAGCGCATAAAATCAGAAGATATCCCAAGATTCATGGCCAAGTTATAAAGGTATATGCAAAAATTTGATGACAAACCGCATCATAGATTGCCATTTGATTGCGCCAAAATTCCATTGGAGGAAGTAGCAATCTCCCTACAGAAATCCAAATGCAGGCAAAAATCACATTATATATACATAAACATGAACAAACAAAATTCTCTGAGAACCCTAAAAAGAGGGAGGTAGAGGCAGAGCAAATAGCTCTGATGTGCACCTGATCTGGATCTTTTAAAACTCGAAGGTTCAGGAGAGATAACTGGAACTGCCTCTTTCTCTTTCTGAGGAGTTTCCTAAGTAAACCAAGGAAAAATAAACTTCTTAAAAGTAGTCAATATAAAACCAAAAGTATTTTCAGGACGGAATTTGAATTTAGCAATGATGTTCAAAACCGGTTAACCAGACAAGTTGGAGAGACTTCCAGCCATAGAGGTAAGGAAAGACCTGACTTGGGAACTCAGCTTATAGCGAAGGGAAGGAGACGCTGTTTATACATTAATATTTAATCAACTCATTGATGTTATTGGGAACTTGTATAGTTCACACTCTTTGGCTCTACCCATGAAAATTCAAAATGACACATTAAGCATTCGAACCCGTTAAGCATGTAAAGTGGAGGTGCAATTTCATGTTAAACGAACCAGTACTGGGATTAAAATAACTTTTATATGAATGCATACTGACATATGTCAATTTTCTCTTTGCGCTTGTTGTGGCGGATGCACTTGCGCTTTTAAAGCGAGTTGTTCTATAATCACTAGTTTGCTCCTTTGCAGTGCTTGTAGAAGTGTTCCTACAATTAAGCTTGGAAGACCACCTCTCTGCTTGTCTTGTCATCTTTCGTACAATAACTTCACTTGCGATTTTTCCATCATTCTTATCGTCCCTCTTCAAATTGTCTTCTAGCTCATATCCTTTTCTCCCATTATGCTTCTTTAGATCTTTAACCTCTGCATGTTGCAAAAAAAATGCATTAGCAAAATACGACAAAAATTAAAGCAACTTTCAGACATCCAAATAGGTTCAGAGAGTGAACTTACTTTCTGAGCACGCAGATGGTTTTTCGAAACCAAGGTCATCGTTTGCAGCAGCCTTACCTTTAGATTCTCTTCCTAAGTATTTTTTGTTGAACACCTCCCATTGAGGAGGAAAACCAAAAAGAAACTGTTCGAACACCTGAAATGAAAGATCCACTGTCAAGAAATGAAAGGATCCATAATTAACTGAATGTCTTTGGTCAACAAATTATGCATGCTAAAACTACATCAAACAAAGAAATCCCTGAATTCTATCCCTGAGTGTAAGAAACTGCACTAAGTCCTTAAAAGTATTTCTTTCTTCTGTTTTTTTGCAGAAGATGAAGGGATGAAAAGGAAACTAATTTTGTTTTCAAATAATGTTAGGAGTATTTGATATCTGAAAAATCAACCTTATAGATACCCTAAAATAGTTGATATAACCATTACAACAAATATTATTAGTACAATGAACTACCTATCTAAGCTTTGCTACTTCTCTAAACATGACTGATGAAAGTGTTCTCTTTTCAACTTCGACGTCAATTTACAGAAGAAAAGAAGTATTTTGGATAGAGCACACCTGCTCCCTCCTGATTTTCCATTTACTACTTAATCCTTAAAGGCCTTCTAATAAATAATAATTTAATAAAACGTTGTATAGTAAAGGAGGTTAGCATCGGGAAACCTTGTTATATATGCTAGAACAGTACCCGTTATACATATACTGAATTAGCTACTTCAAAGGACAGCTTTTGCTAGTTCTCATTGCAAAAGGTTATTAGCAATCAAACAAATCGTTCCAAGTTATTCAAGTGCCAAATACCCCGGAAAGTAAAAAGTCAAATTTCCTTAGTAGATTATCTCAGCAACTTATCAGATGAATCTCTACATTATGTCTTGAGACATCTGCTTCTGAACTACATATGCTATACATATAGTTGCCACTTATTAGTTTTGTACTCCATCTGAGCCTCCTCGTCTGAGTAAGGCTTCAGGTATGGGATTGACACAAATACAAATGCTCAACAGAAGGATAGTCCTCTTTGGTTTCTTTAAAGTATTAACAAGACAATCGGTGAGATCTGTCTCATTTAAAAGTTAGTTGGTTATCGGATCCTTCTCTATAGTGAGATATCTAAAAGAATTTCTTTTACTTTTACGAGGATATTTCTTAAAAGGGTTTCGGGAAGGATGCGACCCTTTGCGACCAGAGAAAACAGCTTTCGAGTAAACTGAAGTTGTGCTTGTCTTTCTCTCTGTCTTGTTCTATACTTTCTAATCCTATCTTTGTAATAACTTCTATATTCTATTATCATTGTGCCCTAACTGAGTGTTCTTCTTTCTGCTATTATTTAATTCATTTTCTTGTTACAGTCGAGACAAACCACAGATCCTTACAGCAATAAGAGAGAGCATCCATATGATAGTCCAATCAAACAATACCATTACTTGGATAACATCAAACAAAATCATCTATTTTGTAGCAAAAAGAGTAGGGTTATATCAAATTCTCATTTTGTTTTGTCCTTTTTTGTATTCATAATCTTTGCAATCGACAAAAATATTTCGCAGGCAAAATATATGGCAAGTCCCTCGTGGCAAGTCCCTTGTAACAAACCTCAGATGGAAAACCATTTTCCTCCGAACGAGTTTTGTTTATGAAGCCTTTGAGGACAACGCATATCCCATCGATGGTCTCAAGAGTAAAAACATCAAATGCCTTGAGAATTGGTGCAGAGGAGAATACTCGCATCGCCTGACCTCTACAGAAAAAGTATTAAAAACAAAAGGATCTGAGTTCAAGATGCCACTTACTAAATCAGATGTAACATAAAACTTCAGAAAAGCTGTTTCTTTCTAGGGCCCTCTTAATATAAATAAGGCCTTAAGTTTGAGAAAATTCTAGCTTCCCCAACGAAAGTAAACCACGTCCTTCATTCTAAATTACTTAACCACCTCCTTCTTTTAATCAGTATTCTACTCCTTTTAATGCAACAACAACAACCCAGTGAAGTCCCACAAGTGGGTGTGGGGAGGATAAGTGTGTACACAAACCTTACCCCTACCCTGGGAAGGTAGAGAGGCCATTACAAAATTTCCCATTTTGACAAACTCAAACTACAAATTAATGAGGTTGAAGATCAGTCCTGGTTTTGATGTGGCATTTTTCAACAAATAATCCTATCTGCAGAAATATTAGTAAGTACTTTAACTACATTGATGATGAATTCCAAACTAATAATCTTCTCAAACTTTCATTTTCTAATCTTCACGCCAGGCAATCTGGTCAAGAATATTAGGGAGAACCATCCTTAACAGGTCCAAGGTTACTGTTAGTTTGATAGTTAAATAGTAGTAAATAACTCTAATCCCATATGTATTAGGAGTAGGACATGTATTATATATAAATAGGGCTCATTGTATCATTGTCATGATTAATCAATAATATTTTCTCCCGTGCATTCTCACATGGTATCAGAGCTTCAGTGAGAAAATTATCGCTGTGCATCATTCCAGCGGCCTCCGGGAAGAAAGACCTCGTTGTCGTGCAATTTTCCGGCGACTTAAGAGGCTGTCCGTAACAAAAAGCCACTTTTCGTCAGTGTTGTGCAAAAAAAACCAACACCACCACGAAGTAGATCGGCCTCTGGCGACCAACCCATAAAAAATTCTCCGTCAGAAGAGCCCCCACGCGCCGCCACGCGCCGCCGGAAGAAATTTTCCGGCGAAGCTCTGACGCCCACGCGCCGGCGCGTGACCGAGTGCATCAAACAACTCTTGAAGGAGAACAAAGGCATCATGCCGGACGAGTTGCCCATCCGTCTACCACCGAGGCGGGAGATCATAAGAGAAGAAAAGCAAGTTCAGTAGTACGCCTGGTTCACGAGGTTCTACCACCGCAGGGCCCAATCATAATAAAAAAGAAAGAGTTCTCTCTTTTTTTCTCCCATGCTTTCCGTTGGTCAACAACCAACCAAAGTGCTCTATACTTCTTCACTACTCGTACAGGCTTGACGGAGTTAAGCTGTATTGAGGGAATCGTTTTGTCTCAATCAATCAAGAATGTTATATATTTCAGGAGCTAGATTAGTTGGCGATGAACAAGTAAGAATTGCCTCAACCAAAATTGGAATTTGACCTAAAAAAGCCATTCAGGTTCGTTATCGATTAGGTATCAGTGGAAACATAAAGATAAAAGAATTAACTAAGTATCAAATCGACCAAATTGAACAAATGATAGGTCAAGATCATGTTGTTCATTGGGAATTGAAGAGGGGAGAACGAGCAGACATCGAACGATTAATTTCGATTTCTTGTTATCGTGGAATTCGTCATCAAGATGGATCGCCCTTACGCGGTCAACGAACTCATACTAATGCTAGGACTTGTCGCAAGCTAATTCGGAAATGACAGTGTTTCCGGCCACTTTTTTGCAAAATTCCTTCAGGACAGCTTGCTCTCCTCACAATTCCGAGCCTACCCATCTAGTTCAAATCAAATTCCGACCACTTTGAGTTTTTTCCGGCGAGCTACAATGATTTTTCCGGCGTGAACAGTGATCCCCAGAAAAATTCTGCTTTTTCCGGCACGATATTATAATGGCATTCGTATCGGAAGCCTTAACTCACAATCCGTTGGATCCAATGCATTGAATCCCATCCAGATTGTTTCTTTACCGGATTATATTGAGTTCCTTCAGTACAAAGCACGTAAACAGACATCTTCAGGATTAGCATCCGTTGTTCCAACAAATAGTAGCATGACTTGTGTCTCCCAATCTTCACCTTCTAAGTCTTGGGTCATTGATTCAGGTGCATCTGATCATATTTCTGGTAACAAATCTCTTATCACTAGTATTTCATATTCTCAATCTCTTCCAACAGTCACAATGGTCAATGGGTCTCAAGCCATGGCAACTGCAATAGGTCAAGCAAGTCCACTACCTTCCTTACCTTTAGACTCCGTTCTTTATGTTCCTGGTAGTCCTTTTAATCTCATAGCCGTTAGTCGCTTAGCCAAATCCCTTAAATCTGCTGTTTTATTTCTTGATGACCTTGTTTTTATACAGGAACGCAGTACAGGGCGGATCATTGGTACCGTACGTGAATCAGATGGACTTTATTACCTTATCCTTGCAAAATCACATGGACTCGCATCTTGTCTTCCTCCAATAACTTGTCCCGTTACTGATTTACCAGATTTATTACATAAATAGGACATCCCCGTTTGTCAAAACTTCAAAAAATGGTACCTGGCTTATCTCACTTGTCCACTCTAGAGTGTTAGTTGTGTCAACTCGGTAAGCATACCCGCTCCCATTTCCCGTGGCGTCTTGATAATCGAGCAGAGTCACCTTTTACCAGTGTTTTGGATAGCGTGCGGCGACAAATAGCGACGAGGGCCCGCTTCACTGAGGTGAGAGGCGCGCAGCGAAGCGCTCGTCTTTTTGATGTGAAGCGACAATTTATACAAAAAAATAAAATATTATATATATATAACTAAAAACTCAATAACAATAATATATCAATAAATATATCAATTCACAATATAAAATTAATTCTACTCTATAACTGAAAAAGGAAGAAATTTCAGGTTTGAAATTTTGAAGAAGTTCTTTGCCTCTGCCTCTACAAAAACAAGGTGCAGTACTGCTGCTCAATAAAAAACAGAGCAACAAAAGAAAGAAGAAGAACGAAAAAAAACAGAGCACAAACAGGTTCTCTATCCTTTTTTTGCTGCACTGTTGCTCGACAAAAAACAGAGCAAAAAGAATAGAAAGAAGAAGAGAAGATCAGAAGAAAAGAAAAATGAAAAAAGAAAAACAGAGCAACAGACAGACTCTCTGTTCTGCACTGTTGCTCGACAAAAAACAGAGCAAAAAAATAGAAAGAAGAAGAGAAGAAGGAAAAGGAAGAAAGAAAGAGAGGAGAAAGAAGAAGAGAAGCTTACCTGGGCTGGGTGGACTTGGGTGCTCTGTTGTTTGAAGGTTGAAGAAGAAAGAAACGTGAAATCAGTGCAAGCCCTAATGTTTTAAGCCCTAATCTGTGCCTTTTTCTTTCTTTTTTTCAAAAGGCGACACCACAGCTCGCCTCTCGCTACACAAGCCGAGGCGCTCGCCTTTTACAATCGCAACGCTACAGAGGCAAAATAGCGCAGGTTGCTCGCCTCGCCTCGCCTCACGCTATTAGCGCTGAGGCGAGCGCTATTTATAACACTGCCTTTTACTTTAGTCCATTAGATGTTTGGGGTCCTCGTCGGGTCAGTTCTACCTTGGGATTCCGCTACTTTGTCAGTTTCATTGATGATTATTCCAGGTGCACTTGGATATTTCTGATGAAAAATCGATCCGAGTTGTTTTCTATTTTTTAGCCCTTCCACGCTGAAATTCAGAATCAATTTGGGGTTTCTATCCGCACATTTCGTAGTGATAATGCCCTAGAGTATTTGTCTTCCCCATTCAGCAGTTTATGAACTCCCATGGAATTATTCATCAAACATCTTGTCCGTACACATCCCAACAAAATGGGGTAGCTGAAAGAAGAATAGACATCTTATTGAAACTGCTCGTATCTTACTCATACAATCTCATGTTCCGCTGCGTTTTTGGGGAGAGCAGTTCTTACATCTTATCTTATTAATCGTATGCCATATTCAGCTATCCAAAATCAAGTTCCATTGTCTGTCCTGTTTCCCCACTTACCTTTGTTCTCTCTTCCACCCCGTGTCTTTGGAAGTACGTGCTTTTCATGACCTTACTCCAGGAAAAGATAAGTTAGCTCCTCGTGCTCTTAAGTGCATATTTCTGGGTTACTCGAGAACGCAAAAGGGATATCGATGTTATTCTCCTGACCTTCAACGATTTCTTATGTCTGCTGATGTTACCTTCTTTAAAACCCAATCATACTTCACAGGTCCAGTTAATCACTCGGATATTTTTGAGGTGCTACCAATTCCTTCTTTTGGAGATTCAGTCCCTATCTCCCATTCATCTTCCTCCAAATCTCCACCACCTATAGTTCCAGTTGCAGCTCCACCACCTATAGCTCCTGTTAGAATAGTTATGTAACCCTAATCCCATATGTATTAGGAGTAGGACGTGTTATGTATATATATATATATAGGGCTCATTGTATCATGTTGAATATATGAGAATAATATCAATAATATTTTCTCCCGTGCTTTCTCACATGGTATCAGAGCGACAGTGAGAAAACATCCGGAAAAAACCCAACCGTCGTCGTGCTTCAATTCCGGTGACCTTTTAGGGCTATTTTTCGTCAAAACCAATTCTATCGGTGTTGTGCAAAAACCAACACCACCACAAGGTCCCACAACCTCCGGCGACCAAACCCCAGCAAACACCTCCGTCATACGCCGCCTCACGCGCCGCCGCGCGCCGCCCGGAACAGTCTTCTACGGCGAGATCTACTCCACACGCCGGCGCATGGAGCCACTTCCGTCAATTTTTTCAGAAAACTCCTTTAGAACAGTATGATCACCCTACCATTCCGAGCCTGTCCATATTTTTATTTTTTGATTCCGAGCACTTTGAAAATTTTCCGGCAACTATAGTAGTTTTCCGGCAGTTACAGTACTTTTTTCGGCAGTTTTTCGGCAACCACAGTTGATTCTTTGTTTTATTTGGTGCTAATTTGCTAGATCTCTTTTCAAATCCAATGATGTCTTTGGGAGTGGATGTATTTGGGTCTAAAAACACGGGTTCTGGAAGTTCTGGTATTATGATTACCTCAGAACCTTTAATGGGAAGTTCAACTACTTAGTTTGGGCTTCGTCTGTCGAGTTGTGGTGTAAAGGTCAAGGAGTTCAAGATCATTTAACAAAAAAGACTAGCGAAGGTGATGAAAAGGCCAAAACACTGTGGGAGAAGGTCGATGCTCAGTTATGTAGTATCCTGTGGCGATCTATTGATTCCAAGTTGATGCCCTTGTTCCGTCCATTCCAGACATGTTATTTAGTTTGGGAAAAGGCTCGTACTTTATATACTAATGACATATCTCGTTTCTATGATGTAATATCGCGAATGACACGCTTGAAGAAACAGGAATTGGATATGTCTACTTACTTGGGACAAGTACAGGCAGTCATGGAAGAATATGAGACGTTGATGCCAGTTTCTGCTAGTATTGAAAAGCAACAAGAGCAACGACAGAAGATGTTTCTAGTTCTTACACTCGCTGGACTCCCTAATGACCTTGATTCGGTACGTGACCAGATTTTGGCTAGTCCGACTGTCCCCACAGTTGATGAATTATTTTCTCGATTACTTCGCCTTGCTGCAGCACCAAGTCACCCAGTGAGCTCATCACAGACACTTGACTCATTTGTTCTCGCATCCCAGACAGTGGACAATCGGGCATCTCATACTATGGAGAATAGACGAGGAGGAAGTCGTTTTGGAAGATCTAGACCCAAGTGCTCTTATTGTCATAAACCTGGACACACTCGTGACGTGTGCTATTCCTTACATGGTCGCCCACCCAAAAATGCTTATGTTGCTCAGACCGAGACTACAGGTAACTAGGGATTTTCTTTATCTGAAGGGAAGTATAATGAGTTCCTTCAATATCGAGCAAGTAAGCAAACATCTCCACAAGTAGCCTCTGTTGCTCAGACTGATACTTCTGTTGCTGGTAATTCTTTTGCTTGTGTTTCCCAGTCTAGTACTCTTGGACAATGGGTTGTGGACTCAGCCGCTTCTGATCATATCTCTGGTAATAATTCTTTTTTGTTAAATATTGCGTATTCACAGTCTCTTCCCACTGTTACTTTAGCCAATGGGTCTCAAACTAAAGCAAAAGGTGTTGGACAAGCGAATCCCCTACCCTCTGTCACTCTAGATTCCGTTCTTTATGTCCCTGGCCGTCCTTTTAATCTTGCATCTGTTAGTCGTTTGACTCGTGCCCTCCATTGTGGTATATATTTTATTGATGATTCTTTTATTATGCAGGACTACAGTACGGGACGGACGATTGGAACAGGACTTGAATCAGAAGGCCTTTACTACCTTAACTCACTCAATTCCTCCAAGGCATGTCTAGTTACAGATCCTCCAGACCTAATTCACAGACGTTTAGGACATCCAAGCTTATCCAAGCTTCAGAAGATGGTCCCTAGTTTGTTTAGTTTATCTACATTAGAGTGTGAGTCATGTCAGCTCGGGAAACATACCCGAGCCTCCTTTCCTCGTAGTATTGAGAGTCATGCATAGTCTGTTTTTTCTTTAGTTCATTCTGATATATGGGTTCCTAGTAGAGTCAGTTCAACCTTGGGATTTCGTTATTTTGTTAGTTTCATTGATGATCATTCAAGATGTACTTGGATTTTCTTAATGAAAGATTGTTCTGAGTTGTTTTCTATATTCTAGAATTTTTGTGCTGAAATTAAAAATCAATTTAGTGTTTCCATTCGCACTTTTCGCAGTGATAATGCCTTAGAATATTTATCCTCTCAATTTCAGCAGTTTATGACTTCTCAAGGAATTATTCATCAGACCTCTTGTCCTTATACCCCTCAGCAAAATGGGGTTGCCAAGAGAAAGAATAGGCGCATCATTGAGACTGCTCGTACACTTCTCGTTGAATCTCATGCTCCGTTGCGTTTTTGGGGCGATGCAGTTCTCACAGCTTGTTATTTAGTTAATCGGATGCCTTCCTCTCCCATCCAGAATCAGATACCGTATGCAGTATTGTTTCCCCAATCACCCTTATACTCTATTCCCCCTCGTGTTTTTGGGAGCACTTGTTTCGTTCATAACTTAGCCCTTGGGAAAGATAAGTTAGCTCCTCGTGCTCTCAAGTGTGTCTTCCTTGGTTATTCTTGTGTTCAGAAGGGATATCGTTGTTACTCACCTGACTTTCGTAGGTACTTTATGTCCTCTAACGTCACATATTTTAAGTCTAAACCTTTCTTTACCTCTTCTGACCATTCTGACCACCTTGATATATCTGAGGTCTTACCTATACCGACCTTTAAGGAGTCTACTATAGCTCCTCCTTCACCTTCCGCCACAGAAGTCTTACCCGAGTCTAATATAGCTCCTCATTCACCTTCCACTACAGAAGTCTTACCCATTCCAACCATTGGAAAGTCTAGTGTGGCTCCTCCTAGACTCCCTGCCACAGGAACACCACTCTTGACATATCATCGTCGTCTGCACCCAGCATCAAGCCCAGCTGATTCACGTCCTGCACCTGACCCTGCTCCTACTGCGGACTGATTGCACTTCGGAAAGGTATACGGACCACCCTTAATCCTAATCCCCATTATGTCGATTTAAGTTATCATCATTTGTCATCACCCTATTATGTTTTTCTATCTTCTTTGTCTTCTGTTTCCATCCCTAAGTCTACAGGTGAAGCATTGTCTCATCCAGGATGGCGACAGGCTATGATTGACGAGATGTCTGCTTTACATACGAGTGGTACTTGGGAGCTCGTCCCTCTTCCTTCAGGTAAATCTACTGTTGGTTGTCGCTGGGTGTATGCTAACGGTTGGTCCGGATGGTAAGGTTGATTGTCTTAAGGCTCGTCTTGTTGCCAAGGGATATACTCAGATATTTGGGCTCGATTACAGTGATACCTTCTCTCCCGTGGCTAAAATAGCATCAGTCCGCCTTTTTCTATCCATGGCTGTTGTTCGCCATTGGCCCCTCTATCAGCTGGACATTAAGAATGATATTTTACACGGTGACCTTGAGGATGAAGTTTATATGGAGCAACCACCTGGGTTTGTTGCTCAGGAGGAGTCTCGTGGCCTTGTATGTCGCTTGCGCCGGTCACTTTATGGTCTAAAGCAGTCTCCTCGAGCCTGGTTTGGTAAGTTCAGCACAGTTATCCAGGAATTTGGCATGATTCGGAGTGAAGCTGATCACTCTGTATTCTATCGGCATTCTGCTTCGAGTCTCTGTATTTATCTGGTGGTCTATGTTGACGACATTGTTATTACCGGCAATGACCAGGATGGTATTACTAAATTGAAGCAACATCTCTTTCAACACTTTCAGACTAAGGATCTGGGCAAACTAAAGTATTTTCTGGGTATTGAGGTCGCTCAGTCTAGCTCAGGTATTGTGATCTCACAACGAAAGTATGCCTTAGATATTCTTGAGGAGACAGGAATAACAGGTTGTAGACCTGTTGACGCTCCGATGGATCCGAATTCTAAACTTCTGCCGGGACAGGGGAAGCCTCTTAGCGATCTTGCAAGATATAGGCGGTTGGTTGATAAATTAAATTACCTTACAGTGACTAGACCTAACATTTCCTTTCCTGTGAATGTTGTGAGTCAGTTCATGGATTCTCCCTATGATAGTCATTGGGATGCAGTTGTCCGCATTCTTTGGTATATAAAATCAGCTCCAGGCAGAAGCTTATTGTTTGAGGATCGAGGTCATGAGCAGATCGTTGGATACTCAGATGCTGATTGGGCAGGATCACTTTCTAATAGACGTTCTACGTCTGGATATTGTATCTTAGTAGGAGGAAATTTGGTGTCTTGGAAGAGCAAGAAACAGAATGTGGGTGCTCGGTCTAGTGCAGAAGCAGAATATCGAGCAATGGCTATGGCCACATGTGAGCCAATTTGGATCAAACAGTTGCTCAAGGAGCTGAAATTTGGTGAGATTAGTCAGATGGGACTTGTGTGTGATAATTAAGATGCTCATTGAGATTGACTGTCACTTTGTCAGAGAAAAGATACTCTCGGGAGATATTGCTACAAGTTTGTGAAGTCGAATGATCAGCTTGCAGATATTTTCACCAAGTCTCTCACTAGTCCTCGTATTAACTACATATGTAACAAGCTCGGTACATATGATTTATATGCACTAGCTTGAGGGGAGTGTTAGTTTGATAATTAAATAGTAATAAATAATCCTAATCCCATATGTATTAGGAGTAGGACATGTATAATGTATTATATATAAATAGGGTTCATTGTATCATTGTCATAATTAATCAATAATATTTTCTCGCATTCTCACAGTGACCAAGAAGATTGCATGAACACATAGTAAAAATCCTAAATCCCAAAAACCCAAATATATAAAAGAACTATAAAAATTGCAACAGAACTCTACAACAACAACAAACCCAGTCAAATTCCACAAGTGGGGTCTGGGGAGGGTAATGTGTACGCAGACCTTACCTCTACCTTACGAAGATGAAGAAGCTATTTCGGATATACTCTCGGCTCAAGAACAATGAAAAGGAAGCAATAACCAAATAATAGCAACAACAAGGTAATAGACAACGAAAGCAAATGGCAAAACGTGTAATTACCAAGATCTAGTAATACGAGAATATAAGAATAGACCTTGCAACAGAACTCTGAAACCAAAAAAAAAAGGAATCTTGAAAAGGAAAAATTGCATGACCACATAGTAAAATCCTAAAACCCAAAACCCCAAATATCTAAAACAACTAAAAGTTGCAACAGAACTCTGAAAACAAAACAAAAAATAGAATCTTGAACAGCAACAAAAAAAAGAGGAAAAATTGCAAGAACACATAGTAAAATCCTAAATTCCTAAACCCCAAATATATAAAACAGCTATAAATTGCAACAAAACTTTGAAGGCGAAAAAAAAAAAGGACAAGTTTACTCTCGAGAAGTGTTCCCAGCAACGGCGAGAGTCCTTCCCTGAGAATCAGCTTCAGTCCTTTTAAGCCACCAATCTTTCAGACAAACCTATTTGTAATTCAAAGAAAACAAAAAGATTCAAAATTTATGGAACCAAAACAATAGTCTTTTTAGGGATTGTGTGAAGCAGATAGAAGTACTTACTGTTGGCTTAAACCCAGATTTTGATGTCTTGGGTTTAGAAGAACCGACCCGTTTAGTTGAAGTTGAAGATTCCATTGCACTCTCCTTTTCATTCTGCTGCTTCTTGCGCGAGAATGCCATTGGATTTTTAGTACTAGTATATAAGCTTTGTCCCTCTGTGTCTCCCTTTTTATGTTCGTCTCCTCCTTTTTATGGGGAAATATCTAAAATTGCCCTTGTACTAGCTCAAATTGCTAAATACTCCCTTTATTCCACTTTATCTGAACTTATTATTATTTGATGTGTAAAACAAAATTTTCTTTTATCATGTTTCTACAATAGTTTCTACATATTTGAATTATTAATTATTATAATTTATATTAATTTTATATAATTTTCATATATGTAAATTTTATTTCAAAAAAATTTAAAATTTATATCTGAAGTTAATCAATTTGACCCTTATACTCAAAATATATTCATATAAACTGGAACAAAAGAAAATAGTACTATTCTTGATTTGGATCAATTTAAAATTTTGTGTTAAAAAATTATCTTGCATTTATCCTTGTCGTTGATGGATCCAACTTGAAATAAGTGATCCCTCAATTTCACATATCAAAATAACAATAACAACAACCAACAATCCAGTAAAATTCCACAAGTGGAGTCTGGGGAGGGTAGTGTGTACGCAGACCTTACCACTACCCCGAAGGGGTAGAGAGGCTGTTTTCGAAAGACCCTCGGCTCAAGATAATAAAAAGACAAAATGAGAGAATATTAGATTCACCACGGAGATCATAGGAAAAATAGGAACATAAAATGCAGGGGAAAAAATGCAAAGCCAAAACGATGGCTAGTAAATGGATCCTGCGTCGAAAATAGAAAATAGTAAGACATGACATTGCCCCTAGCTATCTTAGACAAAACCCTACCAGACTAGGCTCACAAAGGTACAAAGTAACGCAAGACTCAACTACCTCCTAGCCTGCAACCGTAATTAGGGGTGGGCATTCGGTCGGTTCGGTTCAGTTTGAAGAAATTCGGTTCGGTTATTCGGTTTTTGGTTTTGTAAAAGTAGTAATCGAAACCGAACTAAAATAAGTTCGGTTCAGTTCGGTTTTTCTAATTTCGGTTCGGTTTTCGGTTTGAACATTATCATATTGGACTCTTTCTATGTAATAATATGACCGGCGAATTTGTTGATTTTTTTCAAAACTTTGAAATTGTTGGAAATATTGTGGTTATAGAAAAAAAAAATAGACTAAACTCTGCACACTATTATGGATCATAAAATTCAAACATAGTGTAAATTACAACTCTGTGTGAAATTCTCCCGGTATCTATTACATATGTTATGGAAGTTTTAATAGACCGAAAGTCTTTAAGATTGGAAAGTTGATGGACTTACTTAATTGAGTTGAGTCTTTGATAGATTGGACCTAATAATATTAGTTTATTACCTATGGGCTTAGCCTATATATAACTTAAAGAACATATATGCTAATAATTCGGTTTTTCGGTTAACCGAACTAAAAAACTTAATAACCGAAAACCGAACCGAAAACCGAAATTTTAAAATTTTAAGCCGAAACCGACCGAACAAACCGAATAACCGAAACCGAAATAAAAAAAATCGGTTCGGTCGGTTTATTCGGTTCCGACCGAAATATGCCCACCCCTAACCGTAATACTCGACCTCCACAACTTCCTATCAAGTGTCATGTCCTCGAAAATCTGAAGCATCGTCATATCCTGCCTGATCACCTCTCCCCAATACTTCTTAGGCCACCCTCTAATTCTTCTTGTGCCTTCCATAACCAGCCGCTTACACCTCCTTGTTAGAGCATCTGGGCTTCTCCTCTGTACATGCCCGAACCATCTGAGCCTCATTTTCCGCATCTTGTCATCAATGGGAGCCACGTACACCTTCTCCCGAATATCATCATTCCTAATCTTATCCATCCTAGTGTGCCCGCACATCTATCACGCCCTAAAACCACGTGACCGACACCCGGTACTCTACCCGACCCTAGTGAACCATCCCATAAATTAATACTCATTTATATGCCTAATAGGGGATATGAAAGCCTCTTCAAATACAATCGTCTTAAGATATAACCCAAATCATTAAAAAAATATCTTTAAGCAATTATTTTACTTCGAAAGAAAACTTCAAAAAGTTAGAAGAAAGTTTCATTCGTGCATGCCATATGAGTAACCATAGGATTACAACCCAAAATGAATACTACTATTGTCTATGGAATCTCTATGACACGGAATGACATAGTCAACCAAGGCATAAACCGGTGGCTCAAAAGAATGATAATATAATAAAGTCCTCCACGGGTGCGAAGGTGGAGTCTCACCAAAAGTATCAACAGGAAAAAGAGAGCTGCCCTATCCACGCGATCCAAGCTGCGCAGGTCCAGTCCCTGAAAACAGAAATAAAAATGTGGCCGAAAGGCCTAAGCTCCACATGCCTAGTACGAATCATGAACCGTTCCCCCAACAAAAATATAGGACAAGCCTTGAGGAGTTGTAAGATATGCAATAACAATTGATATAAGAAGGAAGCATTTATATCAATTAACAATTTAGAAAATAAAATAATAAGATAAAACATATTTCAATGTCTTCCTTTAGCGTTGATCTTTACAAAATCATATTATTATTTTTTTCATTTACCGGGAGCATTATACCATCACCGACACAAGGAAAGGTCAACTAGGTTATGTACCTAGCGGCAAGTATCATATACCCTACTTGCTCAGGTCGTCTCATCGTGGTGCCGCACGAATCGACTCAGTCGTGCTAATAAAATAGCACAATAGTACCCCCTAATGGGAAGTACTCTACCGTAGTCCCCAACCGTAAGGTAGGTTCTACGCCTACACCGGCACGTGTAGTTTCATGACCTAATGAGGAAAAATATCCAAGGTCAATCTCGGTGAACTTAAGTAACTCCCAAAACCTTTACATTTATCAATGACAATACTCATAGCCAAATCAACTATTTGAAAATAGTTAAATCCAAAATATTTCACAACTCATGTATTTGTGTAAAAAAAAAAAACTACAAGTGCTATTCTCATTTGTTTAGTTTCAAAATTTGTATAACATTTCAAGAAAATAATATTCATAGCACTCAAATATTTTATGATACAAGAAATGGTACAATCCCAACTCGCTCGTCCCCACAGGATAGGACTCACATTTAGAAGCTCAATTTAATCGTGTTTCGATATGAGTTTGGAGAAAAGCTCCGAAGGTAATAAGTTTCAACTTTCAACGTACCTCAAATCGCTTCCAACCTTACCCCGAATGATCCGATAATGCCGACATGTCACAATCTACATATACGAACTCACATAATTCAATAACGCGTCACAACAATACCAACTATCCCAACTAAGTGTCTAACACTTTAAGTTCAATTTCATAAGTTTAGCAAAAATCCCCATTTCACCATTTGAAGGTAAATCCTTGAATTTTAACTCCACCTCTTTCATTAACCATATTATGGGATTTAGTCGTCCCACTAGAACTCAAAATAACATTATTCAAACAAGACCAAACACTATTCATCATCCCTACCAACCAACTCTTATAGGGTTCATGAATAGGTGTTTATATAAAATTCTATCTTCATAAATACACCCTACTACACCCATGGAGTATAATGCCTAAGTTTGGAGTGAAGAGATTACCTCTTTGTCAAACCCTAAAATTTTCAAGATTTGAGTTCTTGAAGTGTCCTTGGGATTTTCTTCAATAATCTATGAATTCCATGATGTTGGAGGGTTAAGAGATGTAATAAATGAACCAAATCTACCAATGAAATGCATTTAATTCTTACCTTGAAGATGCATTAATGGTGTAGAAACTCTCTCTTCTTTCTAACCCAAAAGAACTTGACCCAAATAAATAAACTTTCTCTCTCCACGAAATAGCCTTTTAAAGGCTTCAGTTGCCCCAGAGCTAAGACAGGCGCGACGCACCACCATCGCGCGCGCCCTGTCCACTTTGTAAAGATTTTGACACCAGGTTTGTCTCGTTGGGAGCAGTTCACTGCCTATCCTTCTTGGCAATAGAGACGTGAAGGTTCTTAGTTTTGCTAAATCCCCTATAAATCGATTTCTTGTCTCCTTGTTAGTCAACCCCGTTACTTTCTTCTTATTCATTCGTTTAGTCATCTGAAGCTTTTGTCCTTATTACTCCATTCCTTTACTTTCTCCTTTTTTTTTTTTTTTTTTTTTTGTAATTTCATTAATCCAAGGTTTAGTCAAACCAAGCACTAACCCCAAGAAATTCCCAGCATTCATTCCTTTATCAATAAATATTTTGTTCCCATGTCTTCTCTTTTAACTCTTATTAATCAATGTTCAACTATTGATAAATAGTTGTCCTCCAAACATTCCAGTAATATTGATTCATTCTCTGAATTCAAACACGTAACACATATAGTCATAGTTAATTCCAACTAAACCAATACCATTCACAAGCGTCCATAACTTCGTTGTACTCCTTTGGACCTCGCGTGATTCGGGTTTAATTAGATTATATTCTTAGCTCCAAATTTGTCCGAATTTTTTTTTTTAAATATTTACGGGACTTTACAATATCCACCTCAACATACTCATTTATGCTACTTTTATCTTTTGGATATGTGAGTTCTTAAAAGGCCAACACTCAGCCTCATACATCATGGCCGGTCTAATTACCACCGCTTTATAAAACTTACCTTTAAGTATCGTTGGCACTTTCTTGTCACACAAGACTCCAGATGCTAACCTCCACATCATCCATCCTACCCCAATACGGTGTGTGACATCCTCGTCGATCTCCCCTCCCCCGTGGATAACCGAACCAAGGTACTTGAAGCTGCCTCTACTTGGGATAACCTGTGACTCAAGCCTCACATCCACGCCCACTTCCCCCGGCTCAGCTCTGAACTTACACTCGAGGTATTCCGTCTTCGTTCTGCTTAGCTTGAAACCCTTAGACTCAAGAGTCTGTCTCCAAACTTCCAATATCTCGTTCACATATCAAAACACTACGAGGAAAAAAGTTTAAATTTTTTGTTATGGTTTAAAGTTATTCCCGTTATACTTTAAGTTCGAGATCCATTAAGAATCAAGAAAAAAATAGGGTAATATTAGTAAATGCTATTCGAACCACCCTTTTTCGATCAATATCATCATTTCGTTTAGAAGTTATTATCTCAACAATAGTGTCCCTATTCATGATGAACTAAAATTATTAGGGCCTCCAAATTTGATATAATCAACGTATTTTTTTTTTTAATATGATATAAATTATTAAAGATATATGTGTGAGACACAACCTACTAATTAATCTATTTCTTTCAAATACTCCACTAAAAATATATCACAATTTTATTTTATAATACCTCAAGAGCTAATGAAACTATTTTAGTAAAATTTAGTTCTCTCAATTCCCGAGCGATTGCACCAAAAAATTTGAGTTCCTTTCGAATTATCATTTTTTGTGTAATACTAACATGGTAAAATTAAACGGAAAGTATAATGGATGGCAGAATTACTCAATTTCGAATAATATATAATTTGATTCTTTACCCTTTTTTTCTTTTGTGTTTCAAACAAATTTAGTATGTACATTTGTTGTTTTAAATTCTTTTCTAAATAGCACTTTCCATATTTTATTACTTTTAAATATCAGAAGTTTTGGAATAGGACTAGTTTCATATTCTTGATTGCTACACGATTAACATAAAATTCGTATGATTTGGAAGAGCGTAACAGTTTATCATTCGGTAATATGACTGTATAATGTATACGATCTTGTTCTATTTTGGAAACTAACCGTAAACTTGCACCCTAGTTATATCACTTGTCACTTATCAAGCAAAGGCGGAGCTAGGATTTTGAGTTTGTGGGTACAAAATTCTTCGTCCTTTTAAGTTATTTTATTCTAAATTAATAATTTATATATTTTCAATAAACTTTTTTAAGAAAAATACATAAGTTGAACTAAAACACTCAAGCTCTGCCACCGTTATCAAGTACTCCTAGTAATCTTCAAAGCCATACCAGGTTCGCTGTTTCAGTTGATAATGGCACACATTTCTCAGTATGTTTAGGGAGAAGAAAGGGCCTTTGTCCAGTTGCCAGTGAAAATAAACTAACTCGCAACTAATATCTTCACCAAACAAATAAATACAGGATAAATTTGTGCATAATTTTTTTTATCCCTGTTAATTAATATACATTCCCACCTCGTTCTATCACGTAACCATAAGAAGTTGATATAATTTGATGCAAATACCATCTACGAGTATGTATTTTCTTAGAAAGTTGGCTTCGGCATTAAGAAGGGGAGTCTTGGCGTAATTGGTAAAGTTGTTGTCATGTGACCAGGAGGTCCCGGGTCCAAGCCGTGGAAACAACCTCCTGCAGAAATGCAGGGTAAGGCTACATACAATAAACCCTTGTGGTCCAGCCCTTCGCCGGACCCCGCGCATAGCGGGAATTTCGCGCACCGGGCTGCCCTTTGGCTCAAGCAAACAAGAGGGGTACTTTCTCCACATGTTACTAATAGAGGTCAATGGCCATGGATAGACCAAATAGCTATTATAAGCAGAACATATTCCGTGACCAGCAATTATTATCAATTCGAAAACCTTTGATTATTGAAATCATACATCTTTAAAATAGGGGAAGAACCAAATCATATGCACCATACAGAAAAAAGGAAGTTTATGCCCTCATTTCCCTAATTATGTTCCTTTGTGGATGTTTGGGTGGCATGGAGGGTATTTGCAGTAGAAGTTTTGCTTTGTATTAATCAATTTGCACCCCAGCCGCCTCCTCCTGGTGTCAAAATCTGAAGTATTTCCCCAGCCTGCACCTCAATTGTGTTTTTACCACCAACATACACCTTCCTTTTATCTTTCGTGATGAGGAAATTAGCACCCCGAGCCCCATCTTTTCCACCCATCAGCCCCCTCGGTGCATGCACACGCCTTTCTGATAGGATACTCACAATGACCGGCCGCCTGAATTCAATCTCCCTGATAATGCCATCACCTCCTTTACGTTGTCCAGCACCTCCACTATTCTCTCTTATTCCAAACTTATGCAATATAACTGGGTATCTTTGCTCAAAGATCTCTGGATCTGTCATTCGGGTGTTGGTCATATGGCACTGGACTGCACTTGTCCCATCCCAAGTAGGACCAGCTCCACTTCCACCACCAATTGTTTCATAGTAACCGAAAGTGTCATCCCCAAAGGTTAAATTATTCATGCAACCCTGTGAACAAGCACAAGCTTGGAATGCAGTAAGAACGACGTCAGTTATCCTCTGTGAAGTAAGAACATTACCACCTACCACTGCAGCCTTGTCACTTGGAGAGAGAAATGAACCAGGAGGTATATAAATCTTTACAGGAGCCAAGCAACCTTGGTTGAGAGGGATGTCAACGTTCACCAAACAGCGCACGCAGTAAATGACTGCAGCAGCTGTCACTGCCTCGGGGGCATTCCAATTACCATAAACTTCTGGGCTGGTTCCGGAGAAATCAAAAAATGCTTCTCCCTTCAGAGAATCTATAGTAAGCTTTAAGTGTATGGTAGACCCATCATCCATGTAATCTTCCTCTTCAATAGTCACTACGCCTCCCTTTCCAGACATTTTTGTTTCAGAAGAAACTCTCGCGGCAACAGATTTAAGCATTTCTCTCACTGCTTCTTCAGCATTAGCCTGCACATAGTTCATGTATGCTTGGACAGTTTCCAGACCATATTGCTCAATAAGCTCGTTGATAAGGGCAATTCCTCTCTGATTTGCAGCTACTTGTGCATGAAGGTCAGATAAATTATCTTGAAGCCTGCGCGTTCCTGGAATGCTATGAGTTGATTCTTCAGAACAAGGGTAACGAAGAAGTTTGGTGATTCCCTCTTCTTGAAAAGTTCCCTTCTCAACAAGCTTGAATGCTTTTATTGCTGCTCCTTCCTCCCATATGAACTTTGAGAAAGGCGGCATACTTCCAGGAGTAATACCTCCAATCTCTGCATGATGCCCTCTACTTGCAACAAAAAATATCAATCTACCTTTGTTAAAAACAGGTGTAATTACAGTAATATCAGGCAGGTGGCTACCACCAGCAGAAGGATGATTGGCGACTAAAACATCTCCCTCATTCAGATTATCACCCCAGTGCTTCAGCTGCCATCGAACAGTGCTCGACATAGCCCCCAAGTGCACAGGAACATGGGGTGCATTTGCCACAAGTCCACCATCAGGGCCAAAAAGTGCGCAAGAAAAGTCTAGCCGCTCTTTAATATTTGTTGATATAGAAGTCCTCTGCAAGGTGCGCCCCATCTGTTCAGCTATTCCCATAAACCGGTTGTTGAAAATTGAGAGCTGCACAACATCTGCAACTTTTTCATCTACTTTTGCAGTATTGGAAGCCGACTCGATCTCTATTTTAATGTTGCCATATTTAGTAATAATGGCCTTGCAGTTGGGCTCAACAATGACAGTGCTATTGCCATTCATGATAATTGCTGGGCCAGGAACGACATTCCCATATGCCAGATTTTCAAGCTTGAACAAAGGAGTGTCATTCCATCCATTCCCAAAGTATATTTTGTAGTGACATTCAATTTTAAGGGCACCAGGGGAAGAATCTAAGGCTCGAGGCTTCAGTATGTTAGTGACTCCAACACCGCGAACCCTAACATCACATATAACTATATTCCTGTTTTGAAGTTTAAATCCGTACTCCCGCTGGAATAACTTGACAAATTCGGCAGCATAATCAGGAGGTGACCCATCATCATTGGTTGGTCTCTTTACCATGATTGCGGTGTCTGTTCCCTCATACCTTAAGTTTAAGTATGTTTCGCTGGTGATACTTTCTTCTCTGAACCCTTGCTCCTGCAGCTTATCCTTCACCTGCTTCAGTAAGATAGTTTCTCTGCGAGAAGCTTCAATCACAGAATCAGGGCCATAAACAGCTGAATACGGCTCTTGCGCATCTTCTACCACATCAGCTAACCCCATACCATACGCACTTAAGATTCCACATAACCTGTGAATAAGAACTTCCTTCATTCCAAGTGATCTAGCAATGGCACAGGCATGTTGAGGACCTGCACCTCCGAAGCAAGCAAGAGCATGGTGGCTTG